CCGGGGGGGGGGCGTGATGGTCACTCACACTGTCATGTGGCAGAAACACAAAGTTCTTACCGATGTGTCCGTCCGGGTGGACGTCCCTGAAGAACGGCTTCTTGTTGGAAAAATACTTCTTGACAAGAAAAGACCGCGGCATGCTGAGCGACGGGGGGAGGGGGGGCGGGGGTGAGAGTCCACAAGCTGCGTGACGACAGTGGAAGAAAAACCTGAAGCCGTCGACTGGAAGACTGAGCTCGATCCAGAGCTGAGGTCTCCTCATATAGGAGGAGAGGAGGACACACCCCTAACTCCTCCCCCCTCCTTCTCAGCGGTCCATTCATGTCCGGGTGCCTGGTCCCGGTTCTTTTCACATCTGGACACTTTATCATCATCGTTGTTGTTGTTGTTGTTGTTGTTGTTTGGTTTTGTGCCGCTGACGATAAACAACAAAGTTAAAACATTAAATAAAGAACGCGTGAACAGAGAAACGTCAACTTTGTTGCTCTTGTTCTTGTTCTTCACTCTTGCACAATCGTCACTTTCTCTTCTTCGCTGCACTTTGTCGAACTCTTCCCCGGTGTCACCTGTACTCGATCCGGGACCGTTCATCCCATGTCCAACACGTGTTACGATGACAGTAAAGAACTTTGAGTCCTTCGTGAAAAAAATTTTAAATCACATAATTTACCGGTCCCAAGACCCACCGTGAAGTCGAGATGGTTATTATATGATTGACGTATATATTTACCACACTGTTATCAACAGTCGAACCTGTGCAACAGTGCCCTCCTGTGTCCAACTTAGGTCATTACCCTACATTAATGAAACGTGTGGTCATGTATTACCCTGTGTCTGTGTTGGAAAAAGTCTTTTTATTGAAACACTGTTTTTACCTTCTGCGATTGACTGAGGGTCCAACAAACGTGGGGTCCAGGTGTGCCCCACCCCCCCACCCCCCCCCCACTGGAACCTGATAACGTTCTGTTGGGTTCTTTTACGGACAGTTCAGAAGCTGCTGAAGTTAGACTGATGTTGGTGAGGGACAAATGTTTATATTCATAAGGTCACAGGTCAGCAGCAGGTGTTTGAACATGAGGGATGTGGTCCACATGAGGGTCCACTCATGTATGTGAATGGAGGCCCCCTGTTGAGTAGCTGTGGAACAGCAGGTCCATTGTTCTGGTCACTGTGTTCAGACGACAGGTAACGGCCCGTCCAGAACATCTACATGAGACTGGCACAGATTTAATCCTGTCATAGTTCAAACCACACAGAGAGGGGGCGGGGGGGGGGGCAGGTGTGGGGGCAGGTGTGGGGGCAGGTGTGGGGTCGTTAGGTTCTCCTTCATATTCAAATCCAGAGCCAGTCAGTCTTCTGGTCTTTATCCTGTTTTACTTGTTCATTTAAACTCAGGACAGACATCGACCCCCCCCCCCAACAAACCACGTCTAACATGAACCTCTTCGTACTCTGTGATCTACTGGGACTAGAACTGGACTTTATCTATTTGTTATTATTTATGTATCATATTATTATGTATCATTGTTTGTTTACTGTAGTTTGACTGACTGTGAGTCACTTTGGATAAAAGTATCTGCAGTATCTATATGTATTGTAATATAATATAATGTACTGTAATATAATATAATATAATGTACTGTGTAATAACTATAAAACAATGTTCTGGAGATGCCGGGGATCGAACCCGGGGCCTCATACATGCAAAGCATGCGCTCTACCACTGAGCTACATCCCCTATAAAAGGTATCCGCCGCAGAACAACATATATCTCACCATGATTACTGACGTAGGGGACGGTTGTGGGACACCGAGTTATGTCATTTCCGGCCGGTACTTCAGGGGTCACCGCTTCGTTTAAGTTACGTACCGTGACCTTTGTCCTAAGTCTTCCGGGTTGTGTTTCTGTGTCAGCAGAGCAGGTACGTGTTGGTCACAATCAGAGCTTTAGTGTCTGACGAAATGACTGAAATGTTCGACATTTTCCAAATGACAATATAATATAAAGTATATTTACCAGTAGAAGCAACAACCACTGGGTGGCAGCAATGACACAAGATTGAAATCCACGGGTACGGGCCAAAGGATGAGGGAAGGGTTAGCAGCGTTAGCTTAGCCCATCTGGGCCTGGTGAAGAGTTACTTCTACTACTAACAAATGTGGTCCGACATTAAAAACTGTTTGTGCTTTAATGAGGCTGTGACGTTTTCATTGTGTAACATTCACTGCTAACCTGGGTGAACAGCAATATTCATCTGAACATGTCCC